AGGGACTGCAGCCCCGCTTGGTGAAAGTAGGAAGGACAACCAGTGGGTGCCTGAGTCACAGAGATGCTTTGCCCACAGCAAAGTCCTGTGAAAACAAACACTACGACTGAACCAGTCCAGCTGCTGAGGGAGGACAGAATATTTTCCAAACTGCACAGGAACTGTAGCATAAACACAATTCAGCACATGACTCATTTTCTCTTCCAATTCGCGTGCAATTCACAGCCCGACTTGGAATGTCACTTCTATGCTCACAATGTAGCGTAAGGGAAAACAGTATAGTGAATTCTACAGTATGCACAGCCTTGACAGCAAGAAAAATGCCATACCCCTTTACACACCAAAAGACAGACCACTTCTTCCATGTGACGTTTATTTCAGACACACTCTAATTGGACATTACAATATTAAAAATAGTCCCTGAATAAACAATTCTGCCTTCTGTAAAGCAACCCCTAAGCTTAGCTTTGCCCTTCACACAATTTCTGTGGATGTTCCATTGACACAAATGAGACACAGCCCCCTTCCAACGCCCCTCAGCAGTATTAATAACATCCAGAAGCCATCTCAGGGGACACCTGTGGCTTTCCCCCACCACAGGCCCTCACCCTTTCCCCAAGGACAGGCTATTCAATGAAACACCAGTCACAAGGCAATTAGAATTTTAATTTTAGACCAAACAGTCATAATAGGATGCAAACGCACAACACAGGATACACAAGGTCAGGCAGCAGGGCACATAGCTGAGAACTACTGGTTCACTGTGTGGAGACTCACTCAATACTCACATTCCACAGCGAGAAGGAGTAAATATGTGCTCTATGATTAAGAAAAAAAAAGGTAACAGGTATGTGTATATCCATGTCTTTTTCATACTATGCTCTTTCAAGCTTTTTACAAAGAAGAAAAACAGGCTGTAGAAAAGAGACCCAGGATAGCAGCTAAATCATTATATACAGTACTCACACACTGCCCCTTACATAACAGAATGGTATGCCCCCAACAAATGGTACATTCCAAGATGGAGAACCATAAAGTAGTAGCAAACTGGTTTCACATGCATGGATTCACCCCCTAATCTCATAAGCCAAAAGATCAGCCTGTTGACCCAGTGGGCTCACATCTTTCAAGATCCAGAAGGTGACAGCACCATAGCTGCTCACATCAGATGAGCCCTGTTACAAAGGCATTTTCCTCTGTGTGCTGTGCTGTGCTCATGGCTACGATTGTGATGCACATGCCTCTAGAGCACTGCTGAAGACAGCAGCAGACCTGGCTAATGAGACCAAAGAATAAGGAAAAAAAACACCAAAGGGAAGAGCAGTTCAGGTTTCAAGAGAGTACTGAGCTTCTAAAATCCCTGAGCAAAATAAAAAAGCAAAACAAAGGAAAGATGAAAGTTTAAATGTGTCAAGAACACATTTTTCACCCATGTCATTAAGGAAGATTTCTTGAGTCCCTTCAAAATAAAGGTTGAGGAGATCCTTGAATTAACATGCTACTAACTTTAACTACTTTGTAATCATTGTGTTCTTACGAATCAGTGGTAAAGACAGGAACAGAAGATCATTAACCAAAAGCAAACCCCAAGACAAATTAACTCACTTAACTGGTTCATAACACTAAACATATCCTGAAGGAAAGACGGTTGTGCCTTCAACGTGCTATGTGTATGCCCGAATCCCAGCACTGCACTAAAAAGGAGTTGTGAATGGTTACTGTACTTGTCTTATAATAAGGACAGTTTTGTGTTTTTTTTACACCCTTGAAAAATACATTTATTGCTTCCTCCTGTTCAAAGTGGAGCAATAAACATTCTAAGGGACCAAGAGCAAATGCGGGCAAACAAATGTTTTGCACAACCCTGCAAGTTGCTCCCACCAGGTAGCTGCAAATCTATCTCCTTGGAAACCGCATCAGGCCCCAGTCAATCCACACAGATAGGGTATAAAGCACTACCTTCTGCCTGTTGCCTTCTATCAGGTTGACTGCGCTACAATAACCCCCTGGTTGCTGGCCTGGATGATAACCCCTTGAGGAAAGTGCAGCAGTACAATTGTGTGGTCTGGTCCCTGCTGTAAGACCCCTTTGCTCTTCGTCCAGTATCACAGGAAGGGTAGTAGTTCAGGTTTAATGCCACTTACAGTAACACAATGACAAGCACATTTTAATGGCAAAATGTGTATAGGTGAGTTATGAAAACCAAAAAGAGTATATTAAATTTAAAACAGATAAACAAAATGCTGTGATACTACACTTACAAAGCAAAAGAAAACTGTGCATCTATAGCAACACATCAAATGCTTCATACACAAGGATCAAAGTCACCCAGCCAGATCTCTCCGTCTCTATTCTTCACTCTCCTACACTAGACGAAATAAAAAAGGGGTTTACCAATCAGCAACTGATGCTGACAGGCACAGTAAAACCGCTCTCAGGCAGAGCTTGGCTGAAGTTGTGCTTCTGGGCTGGAGGAGTGTCTGTGCAGTACTGGCTGGCTGCAGTGTCAACCACATAGCTATCTATGCACAATCTATCTACTGCTGTGCATGCTGATTACAGACAAGACAAACATCTTTTAAGACCCATCCTTACATGAATGTGCTTGCTCTTAATTATTTCTGTGCCAGAAGATTTTGCTGTGCTCCATTTGAAACCATGCACTGAACAGAAAGACTTGCTGGACTGTTTGGACATCAGATGTTGCAGTATCTAGTACTAGTATTCTAGTACTAGAATATTTCCACTGTAATGGACATTTCACTTTTTAAATACGTGCATCTTTACTTTGATTTTCTGACGTTCTTAGCTAATGGGGAATCCGCTATACACAAAGCGGATATTTTCTAATGAAACTAAGGGGAAACTATGCTCCCTTTTCCATAATGCAACCACTACCTACCAGGAGGCCAAAGCACTATGAAAGACATCTACACTTCATGACTTTTTCATGACCCCATTTTCAGGCACCCTGCTCTTGTTGAGCCCTGTCCCTTCCGGTTAAGCTCTTCTACTCTGCAGTACTAAGTGACTTCACTGGAGACCAAGCTGAAGTTCCTTCAAGGCTTAAGCAACTCTATTGCACTTGAAAAGCCAAAAGGATTCTCAGAGCATTCATCGAGGAGTTGAGGCTTGAATGAAAAAAAAATGTCAGGGGTTAATTTGCTACGCACTTGATTCGACACCCTTTATTGCAAATAACTTATCTGAGGAGCAGATCGGACCTTCTGAAAGCGAAGGCAGTCTCTTTCTTCAACTAGATGAGCCAGATTCCTCCGACACCCCGCATTGATCATGCATGTGTCCGCCTTCCAGTCAGGCTAATCTAATAATTGGTCTACAACACATCCAGAAAAGATGACAGTATATGACTGACCAAAAAAAAATTACAACTATAACCAAATCCCTATAAGCAAGTCGTTACATGTTTTTCCAAGAAACCAGAATGTCCGGGACAATGCACAGATTTTTATTGCATACAGCACATCTACAGAGGAAAGAGCTGCAGAGATTCAGGAGATAAAACGCATCTCTCGCAGTGCCTCTTAATCAGAAGATAAGAAAGTCAACTATTGCTTCACTTGGAGCCAATGGGGTTTGAGATAATTTAGTGGAGCCAGCAGGTTTATCGGCCCATGATCAAATCAGACGTCGTGTGCAAGTTAATTCAAGCAAGATCCGCGCCTAGGTGACGAGTAAACACTGCGCCACTCAAAGCACACTATTACAGCTACGTGAAAAGACGAAGTAAAAAAAGCATTTAGGAATTAAGTGTAATTTTCACTTTAATTCAGATGGAATTCATAGTTGGGGAGGTTTGTAAATCTGTTCATTGTACCAAATCAAAATGTCATCGATACACAAATTATCATGATGAGCCACTATCGGGGAAAATAAATGAATTTATGATCCTGTTTCTATATAGGCAATATTAATGGCACCTGTTAGCCATCTCCAAAGGCTGCTTTAGTTTCGCCTCTGATGGGCATTCAAGTAGTTTATGCCTATGTGGGCTAACAATCATGGGCATTTCGATAGCCTTGCCTGTTCTACTTCAACACCAGGGAAAATACTGTTATCATACTTACAAATAATAGGGGACGTCCTAGGCGCTCATTATCTGTGCAAAAACAACATTTCAACGTTTCATACGTGCGCGTACTGTACCAACGTATTCACAGTTAAGCAAACAGGAATTTCCGAGTGTAAATCTCTTTACAAACAGAAAAACAGCAGTCGGCAAATAATAGTATTCACGGTATCGGAATACGGAGGACGGTGACATGTTGATTTCTGCTCGTAGCAAAAATCGATACGGTTTTGACAATGGCTCTGCTAATAGATACAAAAATCTGATTCGTCGACATCCGTAGCACCTAATATGATTCAACATGACCCATGCACGATTTCCCAGCGCTCCTGGGCACACGGGGCTACCGCTGAATAGTCACGGGGTATCGGAGCCGCTGCCGCGCCACCCCGCTGGCGCCGTGCTTGCCGTACCCATTTTGGCTCTGAAACTAGCCCGAACTGGATACGCTTCACGCAGGAGGCGGAAAGGAAACCTTCGCTTGTTGGTATACAGTTTACACATTGTGGCAAACTCGTCGCTCTGGGTCGCCCAGTCAATGAGATTACAAAGTAGCCGTTTGTTGCTTTTTTCCCCACTCCCAACAAAGAAACCACAAAGTACTGCGGATTACGCACCACACGGCACACCGCTAAATCGTTCGTTTGCCCTGGTGCTGGAAAACTGACAGGGGCGCAAAAACATACAGCATATATAAAGTATTGCACAAAACTAGAACTGATAATCTATAAAACGCTGGATATCCCGTTTTATTTTCCCTGTAAAACCGGGAGAGGGGAACGCCATTCACCGTTGAACAGATTGCGGCTACCTATCTTCCCTATGTAACGTGGATTAAGGAGTTTGAAGCACGGACGGACAAGGCTCATCTCGCCCAGCTGCCGGACGATCACATCTTGAACCAGCATACCTCGTCTTCTCGCTCGTTCTTGAAACACAAGCACGCTGCCCGCTTCTTGAAGCCCTCCCCGTCGTACGTCCTCGTCTGGTTAGGCTTGAACTTCATCATATAGCCCCGCTCGTACCCTCCCAAAGCGAGCCGAAATCAGCAGCGAAAAGGTACAGCGGCGAGGGACGCCACAGCCGAGCAGGGGAGTCGGGAGGAGGGGTAGCAGTGAATCGGCATGAACAGAAAGGGCAGTCCGGGGTGGTGGTGGTTTTAAACGCAGTCTGCTGTTTGCACTGCGTCTCTCTCCATTGAGCTCGTCCACCTGGTCTGCTCGCTGTCTCGGCGATCCGATATTGTCCGCGCCTTCTGTCGGCTCTCTCTCTCTGCGCTTATGTCTACCCTGGCCGGTATTTAACTGAACTCACATTCCTCTAAATGCAATCCTCCCACTGGCACCCCCACCACCTCCACCCTTTACTGCGCAGTCGCAGCAGTGCAACAGTTCCACTGCGCGGCTGCGGCCAGCCCGTCTATAGGAGAGGCGCTGTGCAGCGCAGCCGTCCTGGAGCGAAATAAGGCGTTTTCTAGCAAAAAAAAAAAGTATCAATGAAGTGCAAAAGGCGTGCCCACTGCCCCAGACGGCTCCCCCCGGAACAGTTGATATCTCCACCGTTTCAAGAGATCCGCTTAAAATATGTTACCACCGATCGGTCAAAACTGTATGGACAAAAAAGACTTGTGTTAACATCTGAAAATATATGTATTTTATATTTTGCGAAACGTTATACCATCCAAGCCATGTGGATAATGACTTTTAATTATTTTTTTTCCGCTCATCTGTTACATTTATTTCTGAAGAAAAGCGGGACAGTTCGACACCGTTTTAAAGAGGAAATAAAATAAATATATAATGGCATCGCGTGTAAAATGTATTCACTCCAGACCATTGCTGAAAAGCTGATAATGTTTAAGCGGGGGGCGATTTGTTTCCGCGGGAGAAGAAATCAATACAACAGTGCAGTTTCAGAATTGTTTTGGACCGAACGTGTTCTTAATACAAGCCTGTGTTAAGAAAACATGGGCATATTGATATTTGTTGACTCTAACACGATCATGGCGTTGCCGTATCTCTGGAGATTAAAGAAAGAGGTGGTTGTTTGTGCGTGTGCTCAGTAGCAGTTTGCGAGTTTTAAAGTTAGAGTCGTTGAGTTACGAGTGGAGTTACCGGGAAGAGCTGTACTTCAGAAGAGTGAATGAACTGGAGTGTACTTATATCTGAAGAAAAACATACTCCCTCTTTGAGCGCCGCAAGGCCGGTGTCCTATCCAATTCAGTATACCCTGGAAATCGGTATCCCCCTCCGAAACGCGCCGTTAAAATCTTTGCCCCTTCCACTTTGGGGGCGCTGATTTTCCTCATCATCACCACATGAAATTATTTACTTATGCGTAACACATACGGACAAAAGATGCACATAACCTTTGTGTGCTTTCCTTAAGAGCTCCCCTGTTTTGTCTAAAGACACGGTGAACTAACATGTAAAGGTTTTTACATGTCTATTCTGCCATCCCTTGCAAACGCATTCAATGAACCGAGAAACCGATAAAAACACGCACCTGCAACGGGACCCTTTTTTTGTCCACATCGTTATAAACGAAGGTACGTAAATGTGCACACACACCCCCGCAGTTCCCATTAATGGCAGGAAAGTTTCGCGAAGCGCCTGCACATCCCGGAGAGGGATACGGATTTTTACGGTAGACTGAGTTAGGCGCGACACCGGGCTTCAAGAAGGGGAGACTTGTCCTCTCGAGGTTCCAAAATCTGTTCATTCGCAGATCAGCAGTGCTCCAAAACACACCTCACCCCCCAAACAGGGTCAGAAACTCTGCTTGTAGTCTAAGCTTTTTTAAAACCCGTGAATCATTTTGAGCCTGTGCGGGCTTTGTGAGACTGATCCCCTGAGAAAGATGCCTGGTAATCTCTTTTCCGAGCGCTGCCTCACGGGTGTTCTGTGCCAAGAGCAGGCTGCAGTCACACACAGACCGAACCGAAATGGCTGATTTTGCGGGTCCAGTGTGTTAGCAAGCTAATGATTTGCATGTGACAAGGTATTAACTCCACTCATATTCTGCCAGCCAGCACTCTATATGAATCAAGAACAAAAAAGGCAATCATTTCAACTTTTAATCTCTGTGCCCCCTGTTTTTGCAATTGGATTGCCAGTTGTCTATGTCACTGCTAAGTCAGATGTTTTCAGAACATTCAGCTGGGCAGCTTGAATTGATCATGCCCTGCCTGGGTGACACAGACACAGCCATTCTGGGCCAGAATCCCCACTGCACAGTAGATCAGCTGGAGATTTTAGATTTTTAGGGATTTTAGGAAGATAGGTATGTACAAGCTAGAGTGGAGTTTGACAAGGAGAGCAGGGTTAATGGCAGAGTTAGCCTTACTCTTGAATAGTGAAATGGGATTTTTAATGACCAGATGGGACAGGACGTTACTTTCATGTCTTATGCACAGGACAATACCTCCTACAACACAGTTACCCCTATCACCATGTTAGGGCTTTGGTTTGGGAATCAGAGTACTGGATAATGGCTGTTTTTTTATTTAACAAATAATTACAAAATAAAATGTGTGTGTTATCTGTCACATAAGGTTAGATGTATCTGCTATTAGGTCTTGGTGAAGACTAGATGAGGATCAGGTGTATCTTAATATGATCAGAATGGGCAATACTGCATGTATCAAATGGTTTTTGACATGCACAAATTTATAATTTATTTAATATATATATCTTATTTTAATGTAAATTATCTAATGCAAAGCTCAAAGAGGAGTGTATTCTTTAAGACAACATATTGTAAGCACACTTTGAACCTACTGTATATGCATTGCCCATAAGCTAAGTGAGTTATGTTTCGTCATGTGAGATTTTCACTGCCATTGTCATGTCATGCACATTTCATAGTCAAGACAAAGTTTGCATACTTAATCTATCGCCAAAGGTTTGATTGAATCAAACCTGTTTTTCTTTAATGAATAAAAAAGGTTGGTCTCCTTATTAAGCATTTCAGTAATTAAGTATTCCTGCCATTTGTAGCTGCAGTGACAAAGTTTTACAATCTCTGAATAACAGAAGCAATGCAGGAATTGGTATTTTTTGTTCTGAGGCAGCAAATAACAGCTCTTGGATAGCCTGATGTGTTGTATGTTAACAAGCAGCAGGAAATTCTAGATCTGCCAGCTGGACTACAGTCAAATTTGATCATGAATAAGGTTTTGAGAAGCACATATTCAACAACTCCCAGCTAAGGGGCATTGAAAAAACCGAGCCTTTTATTGTGCTGTTAAAGCCAAACTCTGCCACTGGGGAAATTTGAACTTTAATTACTTTCCTGTTGGCAGATCATACAAGTTGACATAAGGCATATGACATAGAACATGGAGCAGGAATTTGTTAAAGATAACATTAGCTGGTGGGTTAATTTGGAGGCAAATTAAAACAATTTTTATACACAAAATGTTAAAAGAAATATAACTTACAACACCATATTTCTATAATATTATATAGAGGAATTTATTTCACTCCCTTTGACAGTTCTTGTTTAAAAAAGGCTATGTATCTGCTAACACTCCATAGCCTGATAGCATCAGCTAATTAAGGACATAACCTTAGGAAGGCTGCAGATCCAAGGTGGCAAATCAGTCCATTTTGCTTGTTTGGTAGTTTAGTAGCTAAATGAATCCACCATTTTGTCCAGCTGCTTTTTTAAAGTTTCCAAAGGCTGTGCCTCTCTCTACTGTCTGACTGGAAAGTCTGTTGCAAACATCCAGAACTCTTTGCGTAAAGACACATTTTCTTTTCACCATCCTAAATTAATTCAATTGTAGCTCCCCTTGTTTCTGTCTCTGTCCTTGTTTCACAACTGAATCTGAAATCGTCCCCATGGGTGATCCTATCTGTACCCATGAGAATTGTTAGAAACGTGGCTCAGATCCTCTCCTTATCACCTTTATTATAGAACGATGAGGATTTGTTACTTTAATACATCTGTCTATAACAACACCCAACTGACCAAGAATCATGCTACTTGCCTTTTTTTAACTCCTTCTAAAGCAATAATATCCTTTCTGTGGTATTTCTGCAAATAATATTTCAGATATTCTCTACCATTATGTTGTAAACCTTGAGACTAACGTTCCCTGATTTGAATTTAATACTCTTTGTACAGTATATTCCCAAGCATTCGGTTTGCTTTTTTTGTGTGAAAAGACATCAGCAAGGTTTCGTTTTGCCAGGATAAAACATTTTTCATGTTCTCATCTTCAGGACTCGATATGCCCCATTTGTGTTTTTTAAGTCTAACATAGATGCAAATGTCCCAGTCTATTGCAGGACACATGCACCAACACTTTAGACACACTAACTAACCAGGACAACAAGTCTTTAGGATCTTGATCTTTATCAAGAATAAGTGGGCTCTCTCATACTAGAGAGATCTAATCTTGGGGTAATCCACAAACCATTAATTCAGTCCAGCCAATGAATAAATTATGTATAGTGAATAAAAAGATTGTCTACAAAAAGTGTAGGGCAAAGTATTTTTTTAACTAAATATTTGGACTAAAAAGTAGAACTTACCTTCAGTCAGCAATAACATTGTACTTCTTGTCTCCCAGACGTGTAATCATTCCTGATTATATTTGCAAAGTAAAGACAAATCCTATCATCATGTGAGAAGCATGTTTACTTTTCCACCTTCTTTTCCTACAGATTGACCACTTTCTCCCGAGACTGAGGTCGTTTTTGATTGACGATGCTAGTATTTCAAGGGTACAAGATACGGACACCATGCTTAAAATGAGTAAACAAATGAAGAAAACAGAAATTTATGAAAACCCTGTAAATCTGTGAGTTGCACAGCTCACTCTACTATTACTAATAAGAATTGCTTAGATTTATATAGTGCTTTTCTGGACACTCCACTCAAAGCGCTTTACAGGTAATGGGGATCCCCTCCTCCACCACCACCAGTGTGTACCCCCACCTGTATGATGCGATGGCAGCCAGAGTGCGCCAGTACGCTCCCCACACACTGGCTCTCAGTGGGGAGGAGAGCAGAGTGATGAAGCCAATTCATAGAGGGGGATTATTAGGAGGTCATAATTGGTAAGGGCCAATGGGAAATTTGGCCAAGACGCCGGGGTTACACTCCTACTCTTTTCGAGACACTCCCTGGGATTTTTTAATGAACAGAGAGAGTCAGGACCTCAGTTTACATCTTATTTAAAGGACGGCACTTTTTTTGTTATAGCAAAGTGTCCCCGTCACTATACTGGGGCATTAGGATCCACACAGGCCCCAGTGCAATTTCTTTATAACAGACACAGAAAAGTATTATCATTGATTTTTCCGCTCAGAAATATTTCCACCCTGAGAAGATGAATTCTATCCATTTAATATGACATTAGGTTCAATGAATGAAATCATATGAACAGCTTTATGTGAT